TACCCATTTGTTTACATTCAGATCTCACCGATAAGTGCTTCTGTACCTTCTTCAAATTGACGAACAGCTTGATTTATCTTCAGTATAAGTTGCTGAGCATTTACAGTTGTCGATTGGAGCACGTATAATAAATTATGCGAGATCTCCATCCGGTACTCTTTACTGATTTGCTGCTGGAAGTCGGTCATGGTGGCGTATATGTGAAGCCGTGGCTGTACGTTTTTAGAAACTTCAACACTTTAGTATACGCCGACTTGCTGAACACGTGACAATCAATTATTTTCTATGGTTTATATACAGCTATTTACTACGTTAGCAATAGCTCAGACTGAATCTACCAACGGGTTAATGCAAAAATCAATGCAAAATCACGACAGGTGAATGTGTCTGCAGATATGTTCCTCTGTGGAAGTCATTTGCCGTTCGTGTATGTCTCAATGTCTGTGCATGTGTGTGTATATGAAATACAGTAGTTTGCATTCCTTGATGGAGCACGCCTACAACAGCAAGCTCGAGTGCTTACGTGCATGTGCTCGAAATCACAGGCTACTTGAATAAATTTGCAAATATTAAAATACGTGTGGCTTTTATTAGGATGTATGAACATACGATTACACACCAACGAAATGCCCTACAGAGGAATGTGTTTGATAAATAATAAAAACAAAGTATTTCTAATTTATGAGTCATCACCGATCGTAGAGAGATTACGATTATTTTAGCGAACGAAATCACTATGTAGTGAATTTAGGCCCCTTTTGTATTATTACAAAAGATATGTAAATAGCGTCATGATGTATGCACACAGGACTACAATAGCGGTGTTGTATCTGTATCGGTTACGAACTGTTTTGCAAGTATATCGTTAACAGGGCACATAAGTAGGTATATCGACCAAATTGTAGGCATACTCACTTCATACCACCCACAAAGCATCCTCAAGACACCTATAGGTAGAGATATACATTACTTTGAGCAGAAATTATATATTATTTGCCTATCCACAGGCACTAGTCAAGGCTGTACAATCATTCGAATCGATTCAAAATACTATACACCACTTACACATAGACAGTAGATACCAGAGTGACACCCGAGTGATACAGCATGGGTTTCTTCGGCTTCTCTGACTTTGAGCGTATACTCGACCGCGCTACAAGTGATGAGTTGTTAGAGCCTGATCTATCACTTAACACGGAACTATGTGATATACTACGACAGCGCGAAGTCAAGGCTGGACAGGCACTCAATGCGATCAAGCGTAAAATAAGCCAAAGAAAACCTATGATCACACTGTTGGCGCTGAATGTACTGGAGATGTGTGTGAGCAATTGTGGACCATATTTTGCCCGAGAAGTGGCTAGTGAAAGCTTCATGCAGCAGATGCGAGAATGGGCCCTACCCAGTTCGTTTAGTGAGCAGATCAGTTATAGACTGCTGGAGCTGACACAGAATTGGGCCGTGGGGTTCAAAGGAGATGCCAACTATCAGAATATGTTTGATACATATAACCAGATGCGAATGGAAGGTATGCTGTATATCGTGTTCAAATATATATATATATATATGTGTGTGTGTGTGTGTGTGTGTGTGTGTGTGTAGT